CCCCCACCCCCGCCCCCCGGCTGGTCCCGCCCTATCTCTCCTAACCCCGCCCCAGCCCGGCCCATGCGCTTCCCACCGCCCTTCCCGTCCGCTCCTGGTTTCTGGCTCCTGCTAGGCTCGGCAGTAGTGGGAGCGCGCAGGCGCGGCGTGCGACTCACAGAGCGCGGAGTAGCGGAGTGGGACCCGCTGTGAGTGTGGCGACCGCGCGGGGCTCCTGGCTTGGGAACGTGGTCCGAGTCCAGCGTCTCAGGAGGGGTCAGGATGTATGGGGATGACTTCGCTCCTGCGAGAAAGCACCCGCCAGACGTGCAGCAGCGTTGGTGGCGAAGCTGCCTGAGGGTGTCCGGCCCGGGCCGCGTGGGGAGTGGAATGCGTGATGGCGGGAGTGGGTGAGGGTGTGTATAAGGAGAAAAATTGAAGGAAGGAAGTTCAGAGACTGGACGTCCACACACGGGGCAGGGCATGACCGGGAGGCATGCCAAAAGGTGCTGGAGGGTGTCCCAGCTTCAAGTTCAGTCCCCCTTTGGGTGCCCCTGAGCGGCGTCCCGGGTTCATCTTTTCCTCCTGGCTGCCTTCTCGGGGCGCAGAGTTGCTAGGAACGTTCCTCGTCGCAGGGGAGAGGATTTGGGGGAGGTGGGTTATCAGCTTGGGCTAGTGCCAAGGAGGGCGTGGTGTTCGTGTGACTTTCTTTTACCCGCCCCCGGGAATGTGTCCTTCTTCTGGTCCATTGTGTTGGTGGACATTTTAACAAAGGCTATGACTGTTTTGTAGGCAGTGGCAGGTGACAGTTGCGGGGGACGGAGTGCGTGCGAGGTCGCGATTCGGCTCTGGAGGACCGGGAAGCTGGGGCGAGGGAAGGGGGTCGTGTGGGAGTGGAAGCAAGAGAAAAACCTTCCTGCTTCACCTTTTTCCTTCTTCCTGGTCCGCTGATTTTGATCAGTGGTAGGAACAGCCCCAAGAGAGACATGACTGGAAATTAGTGTGTGTGTGTGTGTGTGTGTGTGTGTGTGTGTGTGTGTGTGTGTACGTGTGTGTGTGTGTGTGTGTGTGTGTGTGTGTGTGTGTACTCTGCTGCAGCCACTGGTTTTGTGATTGTGCTGCTCATGTATTTTCAACGAGTCTCTTTAGGAGAAAAGTGAAACTACTAGCATTTTTGAGGAAATAATTGAATGAAAGGGTGAAGAAGAGGTAGAGTGACAAAAATTAGAGCTAAAGTATTACCTTTTGACATCATAGTATAAGACTTGACTTTGAAAGATATGAAGGTGTACAAGTCAGGGTAAGTGAAAAGTTAGTTAGGGTACTGTTGATTGTTTCAATCAAGAGTGGATTATTGGGCTTGTCTGTGGGTATGCTGTCAAGTTCTTGGGCAGACTCACCTTAGAACCTCTAAAAATGATATTAGGAATATAAAACACTAAACTTAGGATCTTTTTTGAAAGATAGTATATGTGTTCCCAAGCATAGATGTTGACATTTTTACTCATTTGTTTTAATGTAATACAACAAAATAAACTGAACTTCCTCCTCCTCCACCCCTTTCCCTTGATTGTGAATCCTGTTTTATAAACATTTACTTTTGGATCTGAAGTGTGTTTAAAGACACAAGCCCCCATTCCAGGCATGAAGTGAACGGAATTTCTTCTTCTTTTATTGTTATTTGATTCTTCCTTCTCTTTATTTTCCTGTTATTCTAAGTTTTATGCTGCTAAAATTACCAAATTTGGGGAGGGAGTGTTAGGGATGCCTTTATTCTTGTCCAGTGCCTGATGAACTCTTCTTCCTTCCAGACTCAGCCCAATTCATGTCTTGGAAAAATTTAACAACTTCCCCAGAATGAATTAATCATGCGCCTCTCTGTTAGTTGATATTGCTGGCTTTATTTTTCTCTTGCTACTGTGTTACCCCAATACCTACAGCTGCCTGGTAAGCGCCTAATAAACCAATTTACAGTTAGATGTTAATAAATGCTGTTAGATAGTAATTCATATTGCATATAGTTTGTGGAATAATATAAGAAATTCAGAATGCTGAAATTGTATTTAATATAACTTTTTGGGCTATAGATAAGCAATAAGTATGGAAATATGTTCCGGTGTATTAGTTGTAGTATATCCTTCTAAAATAGGTACAAAAACTCTGCAGATAAAAGGAAAATAGAGATCAGAAAATGACCAAGTTTTTTAAAGCGTCAACTTCTGTTACTGAAACTAATGAAAAATCAACATGTAACAGAAAATTAACCATTTGCAGAAATACACAAATTTAGGAAGTACTCCAAATGAATCAAGTTTGCCACACTGTATCCTCTGAAGGAAAATGTAACTCAAGAAAGCTGTAGCCTAACCAGTTGTATTATACTTCTTTTAAATCTTAAGTTGGTTTGAGCCTTTTGCTGAGTCTTTTCATGTTATAGTGTTCCCTGATAGCTTTGGTCTGACCATTTCTACCAGCCTGTCTTTAACATCATTCTTAACTCTACCAGCATCACTAGCCTTCCAGTCACCTCTGACTCCTAACAGAAATTATATTTCCCTTGCTCCTTGCCAGATTCCCTCAATTTCATCACCCCCACCTCCAGCTTTCATCTCTTGAGTGAATTTACTTATTAGAGAGAATATCATTGAGCAAATGATCACTTACTTTATAAAAGAATGGAATTGATGCATTAGTTTAAACATGAGTCAGGACTGGCTACGTGGTTTAACAGGTTACTGTGCCTGCAAAGCAGAGAAGCTATTCTGTCCATTAGTAACCCTTTTTTTTTTCTTTATTCATTTAACTTCTCCCCTATCCATTCCAGTGTAAAAGCACTTTTTTCATGTCACTTTTTAAAAAATAACATTAACCATTGTTCCCCCAAACACTTCAAGTGAGTGCCTGATTTCTTTTTAAGTAAAACTGGAGACTCAGAGAGGAAGAATAGAGTCCTTAAAACTTTTTAAGCTCTACATCCTCTGTAGTCCCACTACTGAAAAAAAATATTCTAAACCAACCATTATGATCATACCTTTTTAATTAAACTTTTCCTCACCTACATGTACTACTCATATTTCTGGATTTTTTTCTCTAATTCTTTGACCAATCAACCTCAGCCACCTTCATGGAGTTGTCTTAGTGTTCTGTTCAAAACTCTTTTTCTCATTGTATGCAAAAGGCAGTGGTGGTCAAGGGCATGGAAATTGAAGGTAAGATAAGATGTTAAACTCTCTCTGAGTATCAGTTTCCTTATCTGTAAAAATGATGATTATAATACCTGATAAGTGAGATCTGGTATACAGTCATGTGTTACATAATGATATTTTTGTCAGCAATGGACCACATACATGATGGTGGTCCCATAAGATTATAATGGAGCTGAAAAATTCCTATTGCCTAGTGACTTTGTAGCCTTTGTAACATCACAGTGCAACACATTACTCATGTGTTTGGGTGAAGCTGGTGTAAACAAACCTACTGTGCTGCCCATCATATAAAAGTACATCACATGCAACTATTTATAGTACATGGCACTTGTTAATGATAACGGGCTAATACACAACTATACTACTAGTTTGTATATCTATTATGCTATATTTTTATTGTTATTTTAGAGTGTACTCCTTTTACTTATTAAGAAAGATGTTAACTCTAAAACAGCCTCAGGCAGGTCCTTCAGGAGGTGTTCCAGAAGAAGGCTTTATTATCCTAGTAGGTGACAGCTCCATGAGTGTAATTGTCCCAAAGACCTTCCAGTGGGACAAGATGTGGAGTTGGAAGGCAGTGATATTCATGATCCTGACCCTGTGTGAGACTAGGCTAATGTGTGTGTTTGTGTTTTGGATTTTCACACAATAGTTTAAAAAGTAAAATTAAAATAGAAAAAAGTTTCTAGAATAAGGATATGAAGAAAAAATGTTTTTGTACAACAGCCAATGTATGTTTTAAGCAGTGTTATTACAAAAGAGGCAAAAAGTTTAAAATATTTAAAAGTTTATGTAGCAGAAATTTGTAAGCTATGGTTAATTTATTATTGAAAAAAGAAATTGTTTTGGTAAATTTAGTGTGGCCTAAGTATATGGTATTTATATAGTCTGTAGTAGTGCACAGTACTAGGCCTTCACACTCACGATTCACTCACTGACTCACCCAGAGCAACTTCTTGTCCTGTAAGCTTCACTCATGGTAAGTGCCCTATACAAATATATGATTTTTTTTTATCTCTTATACCATATTTTTACTGTACCTTTTCTATGTTTAGATATACAAGTCCTTACCTACCATTATGTTACAGTTACCTCCATTATTCAGTCTAGTGACAAGATGTACAGGTTTGTAGTCTAGGAGCAATAAGCTATACCATATAGCCTAGGTGTGTGGTAGGCTATACCATCTAGGTTTGTGCAAGTACACTCTAGGATGTTCACGTAATGACAAAATTGCCTGATGACACATTTCTCAGAATGTATTCCTTTTGTTAAGTGATGTGTGACTGTATTAACAGCTTATCATAATTTTTAGCACATAATGCTCAAAATGGTAGTTGTTATTATTTGTATTTGCTGTATTTTGTGAACTCCCATTGCTTCAGTAGGAATTAACTTCAGAATGTGGCTGTATTGACATTTCCCACTCTGTTTAAGCTCCAGTTATGTATTTGTAGATTCCTCCCATATATCTCCAACAAGTTGCTTAACACAGTGATTCTCAATCTTCAGCATGCACAATAATCAAAGAATCTAGAGATTACTGGGCCCCACACCTAAAGTTTTTCATGTCTGGGATAGAGTCTAAGAATTTCTCTCTCTTTTTTTAGTTTAGAAAATATAGTTTATTTAAAAGTAAATTAGAGAGAGAAGATTCACCTCCTCAAGGTGGGGGAGGGGGCCAAAGCCAGGAAGCATGGCAACAGGACAGCAGTAGCTCAAAGAGCACATAGCTACACCAGAGTCCACCAAGGCAATGGTCCAATAATTTCTCTTTCTAACAAGTTTATAATGATGATGCTGCTGACCCTGGGAAAACACTGAGTGGTACTTATCTAGATAACATTCAGACAACTTGGTGGGGAGGAAGGGAGAGAAGACCAAATGACCAAAAATTTATGGAAGTTAACAATGGAGTACACTTAAAACTGAACTGGTAGTCTCAGATACCCTGTAAAGTATGGAAAGGATAGGTCTGAGAGAAGACACTTGGATCTGATGACCAGGAGGTTTTCTTTTTGGTGTGTGTCAAGTGTAGAGAGTTTATTTAGTTATACTCCTTGGTTGGTG